GTTTATGATGGGATGTATTTACAGCAGATCAGTGTTTGAACCTAAAACCCTCCGTGGTTTCAGGAGAGAACCTCTTCAAAAACCTTCACCGAGGAGGTTCTGTGGAACTGCTGGTTGGAGTTCAGCATCAAAATCAAGGACCTTCCAAAAGGGTCGCGTCTCAACCTCCAGGTACCGATTGTGAGGCGTCTGCGTGGCTGAGTGGAGGGTGGATGGACTCACTCTCTCTGCTGTTTTACAGGTGGTTTGTGGGAAACCTCAGAGCTCCAGCAGCAAAGGAAGCTCCTACCAGGACAGTCCAGGAGGAGGAGAGGAGAGGGGGGGGGGGAACCCAAGCCGGCAGGTAACCCCCCCCCCCCCCTCAATGACATGTGTCCCCTGGCTCAGCAGTGAGCGTCTCTGTCGGTCTCCATCTTTAAGCCAAGACCAAAACCCGCACCCTGTACTACGTCAACCTGCTGCTGATCGACCACCGCTCCCTGCTGCGTCAGGGCGAGTTCATCCTGCACATGTGGAAGGTTCCAGAGAAGAGCGAGGAGAGCAGCAGCAGCATCAACGCAGACAAGCTGACCTCCGCCACCAACCCCGACAAGGCGTCCTCCATGGCCGTGGCCGTCCTGCTGGACAAGTACTGTTACCCCGTGGTGCTGCCCAAGACCCGGGACGCCACCCCCGGGGGCGAGGACTCGGAGAGCGGGGAGCGGGGCCAGAGGGAGATGCCCAACCACCTGAAGAAACAGTTTGAGGCCATCGTGGTGACGGACCCCCTGCACCCCCTCAGCCCCGAGGACAAAGAGCTGCTGTGGCATTTTAGGCACGAGTGCATACGTGACCCCAGGTACGGACTGGTACTGACTGGTACTGTGACCCCCGGTACTGACTGGTACTGACTGGTACTGACTGGTACTGATTGGTACGGACTGGTACTGACTGGTACTGACTGGTACGGACTGGTACTGACTGGAACTGACTGGTACTGACTGGTACTGACTGGGACGGACTGGTACTGACTGGTACTGACTGGTACGGACTGGTACTGACTGGTACTGTGACCCCCGGTACTGACTGGTACTGACTGGTACTGATTGGTACGGACTGGTACTGACTGGTACTGTGACCCCAGGTACTGACTGGTACTGACTGGTACTGATTGGTACGGACTGGTACTGACTGGTACTGACTGGAACTGACTGGTACTGACTGGAACTGACTGGAACTGACTGGTACTGACTGGAACTGACTGGAACTGACTGGTACTGACTGGTACTGACTGGTACGGACTGGTACTGACTGGTACGGACTGGTACTGACTGGTACTGACTGGTACGGACTGGTACTGACTGGTACTGACTGGAACTGACTGGAACTGACTGGTACTGACTGGTACTGACTGGTACGGACTGGTACTGACTGGTACGGACTGGTACTGACTGGAACTGACTGGTACTGACTGGAACTGACTGGTACTGACTGGTACTGACTGGGACGGACTGGTACTGACTGGTACTGACTGGTACTGACTGGTCCGGTCTGGTCCGGACTGGTCCTGTGCCCCCAGGTACTGACTGGTACTGACTGGTACTGTGGCCCCAGGTACTGACTGGTACTGACTGGTACTGTGACCCCAGGTACTGACTGGTACTGACTGGTACTGACTGGTACTGTGGCCCCAGGTACTGACTGGTACTGACTGGTACTGAGTGGTACTGACTGTCTCATGTTGTTTTAATTGCCACCCTTGTCAGTTTGGGGCATTTATTTTGTGAGTTTTAAAATGAGAAATCCAAGGCACAAAAAACCCACAGGTGGCGCTGCCTCCACCTGGCCAGGACCAGAACTAAACCAACTGTCCATGGGAGGAGTAGTTTTGAGGATTGAGGTTAATTTGGTTATTCACCCCCCCCGCCCCCCCTCCTCTCTAACTGCCCCCAGGGCCTACCCAAAGCTGCTGGGCTCCGTCCAGTGGGGGAAACAGGAGGACGTCCTGGTGACGCACCGTCTGCTGGAGCGCAGCTCTGCCTGGGACAGCAGGTGAGGTCTGAGGGGTGGAGGTGCTCTGGGTCAGGTCCAGCTCTGGTCCCACCAATGAAGGGTCATGTGACTGTCTGTGTCCAGTGTCCTGGACGTCGGTCTGGCCATGCAGCTGCTGGACTGTCATTACTCTGACGCCCAGGTCCGTTCACTGGCCGTCAGGAAGCTGGAGACGCTGGAGGACGATGATGTCCTCAGGTACCTGCTGCAGCTGGTGCAGGTGAGGCTCGCTCTCTCTCTCTCTCTCTGTCTGTCTGTCTCTCTCTGTCTCTGTCTCTCTCTCTCATATTTGACTGTTTCTTGCAGGCCGTTAAATTTGAGCCGTACCACGACAGCGCCCTGGTGAGGTGCCTGCTGAAGAGAGCTCTGAGAGAGAGTCCTGGGTGTGTGTGTGTGTGTGTGTATGTGTGTGTGTGTGTCCGTGTCCAGTTCACCTCCTGGACCTGAAGTCTGATCCGATGGCTCGGTTCCTTCTCTCTTCTCAGAGTAAACGCATCGGTCACTTCCTGTTCTGGTTCCTGCGCAGTGAGATCGCTCAGTCCATGCACTACCAGCTGAGGTACGCCGTCCTGCTGGAGGCCTACCTGAGGGGCTGTGGGGAGGCCATGCTGCAGGACTACAGGAGACAGGTGGGAGTCAGAA